TATATATATATATATATATATATATATATATATAACCATGTAACATATATCATAAAGTATGAACATATATAATATATTTGTGATATTAATTAGGAGATCGAAGAATACGTACGAATGGCTAGGCCACAAAACATGGTCTCTAATTCCCTCATCAAATGCTCATAACTATCGTACATTTCAAGATCCACTTTTCTTAGATATGGAGCTCCATCTACAGCTACCTTCACGAATTTGCAACTCTTCAGAACATTCTTTCTGCTTGCCCTCACCGGTGGCCACCCCACCACTTGTTCCCTGCAACATCACATCCACGATCAACACCCAAATTAATTAGCCCATAACTAATTGTTTTTTCACATATAATAATAATTAGGGAAAAGGAAAAAAAAATTGTAATCAGGCTCAATAAAACTGGGGTGGACCAGAAGGCTTAATGAAAGGGGTTTATGATGGTTATATTGAAATTGAATCTTGGTTGGATGTGGGTCTCTATATTTCAGAAAACAAAAATATGGATATATTGTAGGTTGGTTCTTACTTGGAGGTGGGGCGCAAGATTTTGTTTTGAGAAGTGGCGAGATGAAGAAGGGTGTCGGAGAAGGCACGTTTTGAGCCAGTTTTGGTACCGGGAAGACCCAGCGTGAGCTCTGTTTCCTTCAAGTTACAATCAACGGCGTGAGATTCCAAGGAGGAGGAAGAGTGGATGCCACTTTCTGATGACATTATTTCTGCTCACAATTAATTTTCCACGTTCAAACTCGCCTAGTAGTTTTAGTTTGGTCGTGTGCCTTTTCCTTGTTTGCTGCTATGACTATCTCTTTTACTTTGTCTTAATGAGTTGAAAATTGAGAGAGAGACCAAAGTGTATGATATTAAGAAAGCTTTGTTGTTTCTTCCGCAACGTGCGCGCTTATATTATGCTGAGCGAGGTTGTTGGACCAGCATAAGGCTGACACGTGTACGTCAGATACCGGCTTTGATCCTTCCACGTATGCGAGACTCTGTGAGGGAAGCGTGTGATTCTGATTTGATTGCTTTCTAGTTTCAAATTAAATTCCTTTCACTTTGCCACCTCAACTAACACCAACGTTCCACGTAATGACGTAATATATTCCTCGATTAATTATTACTATTACAAATAAATAATGTAACATTTCCTTGATATTATCCAGATCGCATGGGATGGGGAGAGGATGAAGAATGTATTGTCACACTCAATTATCTTCAAACAGTACTATAATCGTATGGAGACAAATTAGAGAATGGGCAATGATATTGTTGTAATGAAAAAATGCTAATATCAGTCATAAATGTGGTCGTGCCAATTAATTAGCTTATTACTATTTAAAAATAATCATGTTGGATTTATTTTGTAAATTAATTATGAAGTTGTGGGTATGAGCAGTGAGAAGAGAAAGTTTGGTTGAGGGAGCTGTAATCACGCTTAAGATCCTAAAAATATGACAGAAGAAGGTGAAAATGGAAGAGAAAAAGAATAAGGAAAAAATAACGTGGGAACAGGTGGGGTCCACATGTTTCAGTTTTAGAAGAAACGGTCAACTCTAAGCGAAGTCCATGTGCACGTAAACGAGTCATGGTTTTAGGGTTTGTGTCCCCACCAAAGCATGTGACCTTGTTTCTTTGTCGGTTCCGCAACCACTCCCACGGACCCTCATGCTTTAGCTCTAGGGGATATATCACTGCTACTTAATTAAAACCATTTTAACTAGCTTTAACAAAAACAAAATTAAAGGAAATCTTTTTTCAACTTCTTTTATTTTTAATTATAGTTTATTAGTATATATACATTTTAATACATTCAGTTAGACTCTGTGCAATCCCATACTAATATTTTCAACATCCAATATTTAATAATTATTTTAAATTATTGAATAATATTTTTAATTTAATCCAAGTACCTAATTGAATAATTATGTAGTGCATGTATTTATATTTTAATTATATTCAACAATATATTACTTTCTTTCTTTTTTCTACTTTAGCTTTTCTAGAAGCTTATTATTCGCACAAATAAAGTAAACGACATATTCTTGGGTAGATGTTACATCAATACATAAAATCATTTCAATTCTTACTACAAATGGCATCGTTTTTTTTTTTAAATTTATTATTTATTGATCATAAAGGTAAAAAGTTTTCTACTATTAATCAATAAAAAATAATTATTTATATAACTTTTAAGATAACTAACATAAAAATAAAAAAAATTTATTAATTATATATGTTTTCTATATCACAAGTCTCAACGTGAAAATAAAAAATTAAAATTTATTTTCTTCAATTCAAACTACGCATATTTCTTTATTTAAATTAGAACATTTGCATATTTTGAGAAAGAAAAAAGATGCATTTTTAAGTAATCATATTATTATTATGAACTAATTTTGTTGATGATTTATCTACGTAAAAAAATTAATTACTTATTTTTATTTTTAATATATAATTTTTCTTCTTAATCACATTATTTCATACACAAAATTCAAGTTTGAGAATTTACTTCAGAGACTAAAGTTAGTATTACGTACTAGAACTATTATTGATAAGTAAAAACATGTTTAATCTCAAAAATAATATATCGAAGACCTTTTTTTTAAGTTCACACACACTCTTCTTTAAGTTTTTATTCATTTTGTTTTTCTCTTCGAAATCATTTATCACGTGAGATTCTTGTCTAATCCTTTAATTAGTTTCAAACGTGGTTCAACTAACATATATATATATATATATATATATATAACACCTGTAAATTGCCATCATGTCCAATCTGCTAGCTTCAAGCTGACTAGCTGCCGTAGGGTTGGTCCTGTCATCTATGAAACTGTCAAATGAATTGCCATCCTCGTCATCTTCATC